GTACTTTGCAAGATAAGGGCAAAGGAAAAGTATAAACGATGATAATAGTTTGTTCATATATGTATTAAAGATACATTTTGTTAGTCCATGTTTTGTAATAATAATGTTTCTAGTATTATGAGTATGGGAAAATGTGAATTATATGTATATGGGATTATGAAGGTTGTTACATACCGAATAGGAAACACCCCTGGACGAAATGGAAGGCAATTTCTAATGGCATGTTGAACATCCAATGCTACATTTCCAAAAAAACAGCTCACTTTTTTCGAGACTCAGAGACAGTCCCGATCTAACTTCAAACGTTTGGAGGGCCTGTTTGATCACCTCTACCGAAATGTTATCCCCTCGAGAGAAAATATAAAGATCATCAGCAAAACATAAGTGAGTTAACTTGAGGTCTTCACATCCTTTTTTTTTTAACGGAAACCAGGCAAATGTTATAAACCATAAAAATAAAGTACAGCAAAACAACCAATTAACAGACCACTACCAGCAAAACAAGAAAAACAAAAGACTTGGAAAAAGCCCCATACCAAGCCACCAGAAGCCAAAACAAACAAAGCCCAACCGACTGAAACAAACAACTAAAAATAAAGAAAAGGAGCTTAAAAGCACAAAAGCTCCCCAAACCTAGCAAGAACCCATGAAATCAACCAATATTACCCATCAATCTTTTCTCCATCCAAGCCACACGAATTTCAAGAGTCTGAACAATGGTTTGAATAATCTGCATGGCATTTCGACGATCCCCAGAAAAAAGTCTTCGATTCCGTTCCTTCCAAATGAAATAGACAGAAGCCGCTACCGCAAGTTTCTGATTTAACTGCTGTGGACGATGAATAGAATCCGAAAGAGTTTCCAAAACTTGATCCCACACATAAGGCATAGTAGTCAAATCAACAATATGCAAGACGTTGTCCCAAACTTCACGAGCAAAAGTACACTGGAAAAATAAAAGTGCATGGCTATCCACACTCTGACCACAAAGCGAGCACTCTAGATCAGGAGGTTCATCCTTCCAACGTAAGCGGTCTTGAGTAGGAAGACGTCTCTAGCAAGCAAGCCATAAACAAAACGCATGTTTTGGAATATGACCAGAAAACCACACCGATTTATACCAAGGTACAACCGGATAAGAACCATCCAACGAACATGATCAGGCCAAACTCCATTCAAACCTGATCCCGAAGAGAATCATTTAAAGAAGGCAAAGGAGAAGAATT